CAGGGAGTGGGGTGGCCTGTGGGCTTCGGGCAGAGGAAGCTGGTGTCGAGTTCGAGCTGGTGTCTTGTGTCTCATCTGAGGTCCCTGCCTAGGGAGGTCTCCCCACCACCCCGCCCTTCTGCGGCTCCCTCCATAACTAACAGCCCAGCTCAGTCCACACTGATGTTCCAAGAGTGTCAGAGTCAAGGTCATCCCCCTGGGCCATGAGCTCCCCCAGGATGGACACGCTGTGTCCTGTTGCCAGCCACGGAGGCCATAAGTGAGCCCCACATGGTGGCATCTGGTCTGGAGGGGAGAGGGCAGGTGGGTTGGGGGCTTGGGTGGGGCTGTAGGTACCGGGCCCCGGCTGCAGGCGAGGGGGCTGGCTTGGGATGGCGTGGTGGTCAGTCCCAGGGGCTGGTCAGGGCTCCAGTGAGGCAGCCTGCTGGGTGGGCAGCCTGGCTGTGGCCCAGGTCCTGTGGTACCTGCTGCTCTGGAGGGAGCTTGCTGACAACCCCTTTCCCTTTATTAAGCTGTGTTTTCACGTGGGTTCCCTGTGATTCCACCCAGAGCTATTGTCACACAGTGCCATGCACACTCCTGCTTGGTGGCCACGCCTCAAGGAGAAGCCTTGGGACTTGCTGTGTACATGGGGCAGAGGGCCATGGTGGGGTCCCAGCCCAGGTCAGTGATGACCCCCCAGGTCAGGGTCCTCAAGAGCCCTTACTGGCAGGCAGTATGACCATCAGAGCATGGCAGTGCTGTCCCCCTGGTCCCAGCCCCTTCACCACGGGTGGGGGTTGGGGTGTTGAGGGCAGGGCCTGGAAGGGGTGCCTGAGGCCCCCAGAACCTACTCGGCAGATACTGCAGGCCTTCGCAGCTATTCCTGGGCTCATGCTGCCCTCTAGTGCCTGCCAGGGGGAGTGCCATTCGGGGAGGCTGCGGCTGCAACTTGGCGACATGGAAGCCCCCGTCCAGGGCGGGAGGACTCCCTGGCCTTCTTTCTCTTTGCCCAGCTTACTTGAGGGTGAGAGGAAGTTGGGTTTGGCGAATTGTCTTCCCGGTTCTCAGGTCTGTACGCACTTGGGTTCTGACCTTTTCCAAGGGACTTTTCCCCAGAGTCTGTCCCCAAGCCCCTCCCTGCTTGGGATGGGCCACCGACTGCCTCGCTGGGTCCCCTTACCTCCTGGAACAGGAGGGGGCTACTGCAGCGTGTGGCCTCCTCACCAAGAGGAGCCTGATCCCCAGCCTCTCTTCGGATATCCCCAGCGTATCAGCCACGCTCTCGGCTCCTACGCAGAAACTTCCAGGCTTGGTTGCAGCTGAGGGTGACACTCACACCCACAGCCTCACTCACCTTGGAAAGCCCACCACACGGGCTGCTGTCGGTGTGGGTATCCGGCTCCGAAGTAGATGCGTTGATTTGAAGCTGATGCCGGCAAACCTAGATAAAAAGTCCCCGACAAGGAAAGCTTTTCTTTCTCAGGGCCCCTGGATTGAAATTAGTGCTCCGGCTCCCAGTATTGCGTTGGCTCGGAGAACTAGGGCGCCTCTGTTTTTAATTAGTTGCAGTCATTTTGGTTTTTTGTGCCAGTGCGGAGAGATGGAGTTCGCTCCCAGGCTCCTCTCTGGCCCCAGCTTAGCTGCGCGGCCCCGTCTTTGTCTTCCCGAGGCTGCGGGTGTTTTTAGCATGTCCGGACGGGTGGTGGCATTGACGTGCTCACGCTCTCTTGTCCTCCCCTCACAGGTGTGACAGCCTCTCTGCGGCAGCCATGGGGTCTGAGGATCATGGGGCCCAGAACCCGAGCTGTAAAATCATGACGTTTCGCCCAACCATGGAAGAATTTAAGGACTTCAACAAATACGTGGCCTACATCGAGTCCCAGGGAGCCCACCGGGCGGGCCTGGCCAAGGTGGGTGACGCCCCGGGCCCAGCGCCACCTTCCACCAGCTCGGCCCTATGCGTGCCCCAGGCCCCGGGCCTGGCGTGGCCATGGCTGTGGCCGTGTTCACCGAGCTGCTCTGACCTCGTTGTCAACAGATGTTACGGAGTTCTTCCCGCGTGCCAGGCTCTGTTGTAGGCCTGGCATGCAGACGTGAGCCCCACAGCCCGTGTCCCCGCGGGAGCCGATGGCCAGGGCCAGCCTCGGGGGCAGTTGGCGCCTCGGGCTTCGTGGTGGCGACACTCAGAGCTGCTCACCCTGCGGCGGGAGGGCGTCGAGAGTCGGGGAAGACTTCTGGGGAGGCCGGTACCCGTGAACGGTGTCTCTCCTGTGGCGTGTCACTCGTGGACACATCCGTGCGTGCGCGTGGTGAGAGCAAACAGACAAACGCAGTCTGGGTTGCTTCTTACCGTGACCGGTTCGCGGGAAGCTGCGTGCGTGGCACCGCTCGCCCAGTCATTTGGAAGGTGTGTTACCTGCTTGTCTTGCGGCCTGGTGGCTCCCTGTGTACCTGGCTCTTCCTCCGTGGTGCCTGCTTCTCTGTTCTTGAAACCGAGGAGTCGACCTTTGTCCACAAAGGGCCAGAGAGTCATATTTTCAGCGTCGCAGGTGGGGCGGCCTCTGTCCCACGCTCAGCCCCGCCACCTTGGTGACCTGCGAGCCGGTAGGCGTGGCCGTGTGCCAATAAAACTTCACCTATGCACACCGAAATGTGAATTTCACGGGACTTTCGCTGGTCCCGAAACATTTTTCTTTTGTTGTTTTTTTTTTTTCCCTAACCATTTGAAGATGAGAAAAAACAACACCCCACATTCTTGGCTCTCGGGGCCGTACAAAAGCAGGCGGCGGGCGGGATTTGGCCCAGGGCCGCGGTTTGTGCCACCTGGCGGTAGTGGGGAGAGGGGTGTCCCCCCCAACCTGGTTGCGGTGGTTTCGTTACGGGTATCAGTCCCTCTCCTGGTTATGGTCATGCCTCTGATGTCAGCCCAAGGAGACACGGCGGGCAGTCCGCTTGCTGCGTCGGCTTCCCTCTTGATTTTGTTCATGTACACGCGCCAGCATGCATACGGCGTTCCACGGCCCGGACAGCTGGGGACCAGAGCCCCCACTGTCGTGTTACCTTTTCTCCTCCCGGAAAACTGCGTGAGGTCCCGGGTTCTTGCGGGTTTGGGGGTTTTCTGCCCGGCTGGCCGAGGGCAGGTGTCCGCTGTCGGGGACAGTTTCCTGCCTGCTCTGCCCTGTCGAGGGTCCCTGTTGGCGGGGGGGGGGGGGTTGTGGGGGGAGAGCCTCCTCTGCCTTGTCTCCTGTCGTTGGCCTGCTTTGACTTTCCCCGGGATGCGACAGCCCTTCTGTTTCTGGTTCAAGTTGTCCCTCGTGCTGGGAGGTGTCGCAAGTTGCTGTCCCGCACGGCTCTGCCTGGGGCACCGTGAGGCCCCCACAGCTCTCATCCCCGCTCCTTTCTTCTGTCTCACTGTCTGGGGCTCCTCTCTCCTGGCCGGCCCCCGGCCCTGGCCGTTTCTCGAGTTTTCCATTCACGGCGCTGTGGTGGCCGCGGGCTCCGTGTCCCCTGCGACCCAGGCCCCCCACGCCTCTACCTGCCTTTGCCCCTTCCCAGTTCATCTCCCTCTCGGCCTCTGTGCTTCTCCTTTGAGCCCCAGTGTTCCTGCTTTGAGCTCTAATCTCAGCGGAGTCATTTTTGGCTCATTTATTTGGATCGAAGGAAGCTGTTTGGACTGGGTGTTTCCTGAGGCAGGAGTTTCCTGGGTCTGTTTTCCCTCCACCTTTCGTTTTGTGTGCTCCTTTTCAGCTTCTCGAGGGGGATTTTGTGTGCGGCTTCCTCTGTGTGCGGGGCGGGGAGGGGCAGCGTGGGGCGGGCACGGATTCTGTTGCAGCTTGAAGGACGTTGGCGATTGCAGAGGCGCGCTGATCGCGTGCACACACTCGTCCCTTCTCTCACCTGGCTGGGACCGTGTGTCGGGCCCTCGAGTCCCTCAGCAGCCTCCGTGCCGCTCTGGGGGGACAGATGGGGCTCGGGAGGCACGTGCCGGGGGCCTTGGGTAACCCCTGTCCCCTCGGATGGGGGTGCTTGGTTCTCAGGGCTGCTGGCCTCTTTGGAGAAGGAACACGGTGTCCTGCTGGCCCGAGCCAGCTCTGCAGGTGCCGATGTCCCCTCACCCTGGTCTCGTTGGTCTTGACCACCCTTCTTTGTGCATCTGTGTGTGTAGTGCTAGGGGTTTTCAGTTTCATCCCAGCTGTATTCTCCACCCCCCGCAAAAGCTCCGGTGGGATTGGGTGGGGGTGGCTGTTCAGCAGGTATAGCTGGGGCCAGGGGCCAGAGCCAGAAGAGGCTTTGAGGGTGTGGGGAGCCCCATTTTGGGGCTTTTGGGGCACCCCTGTCTTGTTCTTGGCTGTTCTGTGCATGCCCCTGCCCCCTCAGGCCAGCGCTGCACCCCCCTGCCCCCCCGCCCCCAGCCAGGCTGCTTGGGAAGCGCTCGGGCGGGAGGGAGTGAGGGAGGGGCATGGTGCTGGGTCCTGCGGGAGGGGTCAAGGTGCTTCAACGCTTGGGTGCATCCCTAAGGACTGTCCCTGCAGGCAGGCGGTGCCCCAGTGCCTCCTCCAGCCACCCGTCCCACTACCTGCAAAATGGCTTGGGGAGCGGGAGGTGTCGGGGGCAGAGGCCAGCCCCTCACTTCATTCCCTCTTATAGGGTCCCCCGCACCTTCTAACCCAGCTGCTCAGACGCCCCAAGCCACCTGCCTGGTGCCGCCTCATCCACCGGGGGAGTGTGGCCTTTCTGTCCCGCTCAGCCTTGGCTGAGGCTTGCCCTCCAGGAGCTTCGAGGGCGGGCCAGTCCAGGGCCACGCCATGCCCGCCAGGCACCGAGTCGAGGAGTCAGGAAGCTCAAATGTCTTCCAGCGATATCCGTTAGAGGTTGTTCGCCCCGAAGCCTCCCTTCAGACCCTGGTCTCGCAGAGATTCGAGGGCATCAGGCCCCGGCATGTTGATTTTCCCGAGGGCTTGGGGTCCTAGACCCGCTGGAAGTGGCTCTGTGTCACATGCCTTTTTCAGAACCTGCCGAGTGTGTGTCCACGCAAGTGCAGGTCGTGCGCGCCTGAAGCAGCCTGTTTGGTTCTCCGGCGTCTTTATGCAGCAGCGCCCGTGAGGGATGGAGGAGACGGGCAGGGGAGTCCACGGCTCTCAGGAGGGAGCCGAAAATTTGGGAGTGACGTGTTTGCTTCATTTTGCAGCCTTGGTGTCTGGGCGGGCTTCGTCTGATGGAACTGGCTGGGCGAACCCCCCGTTTCCCCGGCGAGCACGCGTGGTAGTGGGGGGGAACGCCGCTTCCCTGCCAAGGGGAGGTGCCACCCCTGTGGCTAAGGGGCTGCTCGGAACCTCTTCCTCTGTGAGAGCGTCTCCCATGCTGGAGCCAGCAGCCCTTTTGTTTGTATTTCTGGTGCTTTCGGTCTCAAGTGTGTTAGTCGATCGCCTGACTCTTCAGATTTCCTGCTTGACATCTAAGAAAACCGCCGACCGGCAGGCTGACCCCAGCACCCTGTTGTCATGAGGCCTCATGCCACACATGGGCAGGCAACTGTGGCCACGGAGTCGGGAGAGGGCATGTCCCCAGAAGGAGCTTTGACCGAGCAGCCATGTCCCCATTTAACTTCAGTCAGGGTTCCCAGCCTTGGCCCTGCTGACACGGAGGCAGGTGGTTCCTCTGGGGGCGTCCTGGACGCCGTGGGGCCTGAGCAGCGTCCCTGGCCGCACCCCTGTGATGCCAGGAGCCCTCCAGTGGTGGCAACCACAGATGTCCCCAGACACGGCCCAGCGTCCTGACTTCCTCTCATTGTTCCTGTTACTTATTTGTGCTCCGTCAGCAAATCGGCGAGGGTGTTGCTGGCAGAAGACCTCTCTGTTGTTAACCGGCAACCAGGGGATGAGGGTTTCGTGGCCAAGCAAAACATTTTCTTGCACTGATGTCTGTTGGGGAATCCTTGGGGATGGCAAGGATCTCAGCTGTTCTGGAAGCTGCCGGCAACTTGGGCGTTGGTGTGGTGTTCTTCCCTCGTTGGCCCTGAGCTGGGGGAGACCTTGGCCTCCCCAGAGTTCTTGGCTGCCGCACTGAAAACAGGTTGGTTGAATTCCTTTTCCCAAAGCTGCTGGGTGGCCCGCTGGGCTCCCCGGAAGGAGAGCTGTTTGCAGACACCTGCCCAGGACGGGGAGAGACCAGCCCGTGTTGGCCCCAGGGGCCTTCAGAGAAGCGAGCCGGGTACCCAGGAGGCCCCAGCCCGGCCTAGAGGGCACGCTGAACGGAAGAGGGGGAAGCAGGAGGGCGAAGAGGCCAGTTGGGCAAGCTCGGCGCTGACCCAGTGCCCCCTACCCCGGGCGGCCCTTCCCCAAAGCCCTTCCTGCAGGCCTTCCGGGGCCTCTCCTGGAGAGGGGTGGGGGTGGTCCCCTGTGGGACCCACTGCCACCAGGAAACAGCTGTCCTATTCCTCAGAGGTGACCTTCTCAGGTCTTGTCCCCTCACGTTTGTGGCATTATCGTTCTCCTGCCTGTGGTGCCTCACCAGCCCTTCTCTGTCCTTTGCACTTAGGACTTGTCCCTGTCTTCAGTTTCCTTATCCCTTACGGTGCTTATCATCTGCTCGCTCCCACAGTGGAAGGCCCTCACGGATGTTTGTTGTCCGGCGTCCCCCCGGTACCCAGAGCTGTGCTTGCCCCTAGGAGGTATCCCGGCCTCCCGGCCTGGCCCGAGTGGTCCTGAGCCAGGCTTACAGCGCTGTCTTCTGCAGCCGGGGGTATGGCCGCAGAGTGCCTGAACAGGCGAGAGTGTGGGAGCCCCGCTTGCTCACTTTGTGATCGTGCACATAGGCATGGGGGCGGCCCCTGGGCTCTGGAGGGGACCGCTCCCAGCCCCCGGAGCCCAGGCTGAGCTGTAGAGGCTTGGCGGGTGGCGTCAGGAGGCCAGCATGGCTGTGCTCCAGCGGGTAGTGTCCGTGGCCCCGCACAGGTCACTGTGGGGAGTTTGAGGAAGTGTGCAGATGGTTCCTGGTGCCCCTGCGGTGTGGGACCTGGACGTGTTCCCAGGGCACCACCGCCGGTCTCCTGGGGGGGGGGGGGGCTGTGTGTCCTCCCGTCTGCAGGCGCCGCTGACTCCCCTCTCGTCTTGCAGATCATCCCCCCAAAGGAGTGGAAGCCCAGGCAGACGTACGATGACATTGACGACGTGGTCATCCCGGCCCCCATCCAGCAGGTGGTGACGGGCCAGTCAGGCCTCTTCACACAATACAACATCCAGAAAAAGGCCATGACAGTCGGGGAGTACCGCCGCCTGGCCAACAGCGAGAAGTACGTGGCCGGGGGTGAGGCGGGTGTCGGGGGGAGGCCCTGAAACCCCATCTCTGAGGAGGAAGCACACCTTGAGGGCCTCCAGGCCCCCTGAAGTGGGGCCCTCGGCAGCTCCTGGTTCTGGGGGTGCAGAGAGAGTGGGACATGGTGGGGACTTGTCCTTGTCTTCCGTCCCTGGGTTGCTTCCCCACACCCTCCTGCGACATCTCCGGTCCGATGGTACCTTCTCGGGGTTTCCTGGGTCACACACGGGCACACTCACACGCATTCCCTTGCACATCCGGGTGCGTTTGTGGGCATTCCCGGCACACGCCCCCGGGCTCACTTGGGCGCCCGCCTCCACTGTTGACTCTTGCTTGTTCTCTGTTCCCCAAGCCTCCCTGGCTGGCCGAAATTTGTGCATTTCCGGCAGTCTCTTCGCTCTCAGACATAAGCATCCCACGGGGCCAGGGCGTCGTCTGCCTTCTCCTGCTGTCCTGGCCCCCGAGACAGGGCCCGGCCTCTGGTCGGCACTGCTGGTATTTGCAGAGCAGAGGGCTGAGGAGAACCCTCAGAGCCTGCGTCCCTCACCTGCTCCAGCTGTCCCCGGTGTGTGTTCCGACTCGGGTGCCCCAGGCCCTGGTGGCCGACGAGATGGGACGAGTGGGCGTCATTCCAGGGGGGCCTGCTGCCCATCCCGAACCCCCTCAGCCCCGAGTAATTGCTCTCCCAGGGCCACATCCGTGTTCTCCGGGCTGTGCCCTGAGGTGGGGACTGAGAACGTGTATCCGGCCGCGCCCTGGAGGGCTGGGCCCCACGGCCATGGTCGCTGTGCTGTTCATCCACCAGGTACTGTACCCCACGGCACCAGGACTTCGATGACCTGGAACGCAAGTACTGGAAGAACCTCACCTTCGTCTCTCCCATCTATGGGGCTGACATCAGCGGCTCTTTGTACGATGACGTGAGTACCCGGGGCCCCCGAGAGGTTCTGGGGGAATGAGGGATGCCATTTCCTGGTAAGCGGTGGAGGGAAAGGTGTGTGAACGGGACTTTATCTTGAAACCCGGATGTTACAATGCCGCGGCCAGCTTAGCTGGGCGTTCTCTCGGGCTCTGGTTACAACCACGTGCCAAGTCTCAGGGTGAAGAAAGAAGGAATTCCAGGTGTGTTTCTGATTTGCAGAATCTTTCCTACAAAACTGTCAGCCCATCCTGCCCTGATCTGACCTCAGGTAGCCTGCAGCTGACCTCCCAGGGGCCTCCTAATCCTCAGTCTAGTACTTTTCCTCTCCAGTTCCTAGCACTCTGTCTTGGGGGAGCCTCGGGGCCCTGAGTTCTAGCCCTTGGGAGGGCCCTGGGGGTACCTGGGGCAATGGAGGGGCCTCATGCTGGCCTTGGCCTGTTCGGGGCGTAGACCAGACATTGGTGGAGACGTGATGCAGAGGCCCCACTGAGGTGCTGCTGTTCAGCAGATGGGGGTTTGAGTGGGACCCACACTTTTTTAGGGGACAGTTTATTAATATTTATGGGCCCTCTGCTAAACCTAGGTTGGTTGTACCAAGACTGATTGATTTCTAAGCTCTTAAGCCTGACGTGTGTTCTGCTCTGGGGCTCTCCCCGGAGTGGCCCCTCAGCTGCCATCTTTGCCCCTTACCCTGAATCATCACTCTGAAGGTCATCTCTTGCTGGAACATTCTATCCACTCATCCATGGTCCTCATGAGAGTAGCTGGAGGTGCCTCCTGAGTCCTGGACTTGGGTGGCGCTGCCGTGGATTGGAATAAGGTCCCCTCCTGAGTAGGGTCAGGACCCTCCTGAACCCATTAGGAAAGACTTGCGTTTCCCAAAAGGTGTTGGAAAGACGTGACTATCGCGTGGGTCCCAGCAGTTCGCCCAGCTTGGGGAGCCTGTCTGACCTGTGGCCCACGGGCCTTCCAACTAGGGGGTCCTGCTTCGTGGTGAGGGCGGGTTTGTTCCTCTGAGCTGGGCACCAAGGGCGTGTCAAACTCAGGGAGCTCACCCCTAAGAACCCGAGGGAGACGCCCTCGCCCTGGGAGGTCAGGGACTAAGCTGACTCCTGGCCCTGGTTCCCCCTTCTTGGACCTTGGTTTCCCCATCCACAGTGAGGGGTACGGCAGGTGTGTGGCTGCCCTCCAGCAAGGGTGTTCCGGACAAGGAGGTTTAGCTTCTCCCTGGGACCCTGAGCTCATCCACTTGGCCTTGACCCCACAGCAGTGGCAAGCTTGTGAGGCCACGTGGCCAGGCCTCATCCTCGTGAGCGTGCCGTCTGAGGGCAGAGCCGCATGCATGCCTTGGATGTGGCAAGGACAGGAGGGCGGGGGCCCAGAGGCCCTGTCGGCACACACCTCTAACATGAGGGGGCGCAGCCCAGTCTCTCACGCTGCCCCAGCACACCTCAGCTGCCGTGCGGCTCACCCCAGGGCTTCGAACTTTCCAGGACTGAGCGGTTGCCCTACTGATGGTTACAGAAACATTCAGCACCATGAGCCAGCTTGTCCTTGCGCCTGGCTCAAGGCGCAGAAGTTCCTGTGGCAGATTGAGTGAGGGACCGGTGGGGCCGTGTCCCTGGGCTTTCTGGGGCCTGTCTGGGTCCGTCCACCTGGGCGGTGGCTGCTGGTCCTGTGTGCCGCCTCCAGACGCCAGCCCTGCCACTGCTCCCCATTTCTCTGCTGGCTTCGAGGGCTTCCTGGCCCTGCAAGAGGGGCCCAACTCCCCAAGCCCCCTTTTCCACGTCAGACCGCCAAGGCCTGGAGGGACCCGTCGTGGCAGCCCCAGATCAGGCCTCGCCTCTGACCCCATTCCATCTGGGTTCGTGGCCCCTCCTTGAAGGGCTCTGGCAGGAGGCCAGCACTGGGTGTCCCTGGGTGCTGCACCCCCTGCTCTGTGAGAGCATGAGGAGAGAGATTTTCCCGGGTCCTCTGCGGGAGCCCCGTTCTTGATGTTTGTGACCTTCCGTCCTCCTCCCTGCCTCAGGTGGGTACCTTGGGGCTCAGTGGCTGGGAGCCTTGTCCCCGTCCCCATCCCGCTCTCCATGTGCAGTCCCAGCCATCGGTGCTCTTGACACGGCCACGGTTGGGATGAAGCTCTGGGGCTCGTCGGCCGGCGCTGGGCAGCCCCGTGCCGGCCTGCAGCTCTGCTTCCTAGACTCCGAATCGTGACTTCTAGGAAGGGAATCTGACCCCAACAGCTGCCGGGTTGGAAGAGCTGAAGTTCCTGTGTTGTGTTTAGGACGAGTGGGAAGTCACACGCCCGTTTTCTTTTCTACAGAGTTCTACGAAGTTAGTGCTCGTGGGGATCGTTCGCTTGTTTGTCCATTGTCTGACCTGCGGTGTCTTTTTTAAAGGAAGCATTATTGAGGTGTAATTCACACACCACACAGTTCCCCCACATAGAGCATACGATTCAAGTTTCTACTGTATTTCACCGAGTTGTGCAGCCATCACCACGGTCAATTCCAGAACATTCCGTGAGCCCCAAAAGAAGTCCCTTCCTCATCAGCAGTCACTCCCTGTCCCCTCTCCAGCACTCACGCACGAGCCCCTTCCTGTCCGTGGAGGCGCGTGTTCTGGACGTGTCACACGCGTAGACTCACACCCCATGTGGCCTTGCGTCTGGTTCCCTCCCTGACCGTCATGGGCTCAGGGTCTGTTCCCGGGGCCACGCGTGTCCGCGCCTCGCTCCTGTCTGCAACCCAGTGACCTGCCCTTACGTGGTGTTAACTGTTCACTTGGACTGTTTCCACTTTTTGGCCACGGCGAGTCATGTGCCTGTGAACGTGCATATGTGAGTCTGTGCAGACGTATGTTTTCATTGCTCTAGGCACGTCCCTAGGCCTAGAACCGCACTCCTCACGCGCTCATTCCACGTTTACCTTTTGAGGAACGGCCCGTGCTTTCCCCCAGCAGGAGAGTGTCTGAGGGCTCTTCTCCCCCCGCCCCACATCCTCACCAACACTTGTTGCTGTCTGTCTGTTTCACCCTGCCAGTCCTAGTGGGTGTGACGTGGCGTTGGCACTGGGGTTTTGATCTGAGGTTTCCTGCGGGTTAATGACGTTGAGCATCTTTGCACGTGCTTGTGAGCCGTGTGTATCTTCTTTGAGGAGAAATGTCCATTTCGGCCCTTTACCCATTTTTTAATCGGGTTATTTTTTTTTTTCTATGGTAGTTATAAGGGCTCTTTAGAGAGGGCACAGGTCTCTTACTTGATAGATGACTTGCACGTATTTTCTCTCCTTATGTGGGTTCTCTTTTTTACTTTCTTGATGTTTTTTTTAAAGCACAGAAGTTTTGAATTGGATGAAATCTAATTTATCTGTTTTTGTTTTACTCGAGGGCTTGTGATTTTGTGCTTGTGTTCCGGGCTTCTGCTAGGGGCTCGCCTTGCCAGAACCAACCACTGGTTCAGGGACCTGTAACGGGGAGGGTACGAATGGGATGTGAGGCAGAGTGGGCTTGGGACGGAGAGAATGCTGACGCTCGCTCAGCATCTCCGCAGGCTTGGAGGGGTCTCCAGGGACCGAAAATGGATTGACCTGTATTTTATGAGCTCTCGTGACAAGATGGGACCCGTTTGTGGCGTTAGGAATAGATGAGTCCGGTGGGCAGGGATTCTGGCCTTGTTTGCCTGGTTCCGAAAGCCGTCCCTGTCTCTTCCGGCAGAAGGTGCCGGAAGGGCTGTCTGGCACCTTTGCTGAGCTAGCCCCATTCCACGATTGTCTTCCTCCTTCCATGTCATTGACTTTGAGGCACGTTAATTATTCACAACCAAACCTCAGCCCTCACAGCGTGGCCTTCACTGCCTGTGATTAATGCATAGCTCGGCATGGCATCCAGAGAAAGCCTGCCTGACTGCCTGGCCCAGGCTGAGGGACTGGTGTCTCAGTGTGGGAGTAGCTCCCACTGGGGTTCAGACACTGGGGCGGGTGAAGCTCTGACGTGGGCAGGTTTGCGACTGGCCGTGAGCTCTCAGGCCCTCTGTGGGGGCTGCCCCGTAGCCTTCCTGTGCTCCTGCCAGCCCCTGGGGGTGACCTGCCACCAATCGTGTGCTCGCCGCCCTGCAGGATGTGGCCCAGTGGAACATCGGGAGCCTGCGGACCATCCTGGACATGGTGGAGCGTGAGTGCGGCACCATCATCGAGGGCGTCAACACCCCCTATCTGTACTTCGGCATGTGGAAGACCACCTTTGCCTGGCACACAGAGGACATGGACCTGTACAGCATTAACTACCTGCACTTCGGGGAGCCCAAGTCCTGGTGAGTGTCCGTCTGGCACCCAGGCCGCGGGGAGGGGCGGGCTGCCCACGGGCTCCTCAGGGGCCGGACAGGTGTGGGGGCACCTTCGGGTGGCCCCTCGGGGACAGGGTTGGGTCTGTGGCCGGGCAGGCAAAAGTTGAGGGGCTCTGGCAGCTTGCGATCTGCTGTCCTGTATCCTGTTTGCTTCAGGGGCAGCCTTGGTTGGTGATGAGGGGATGCGTGTCCCCAGAAATGAGCTTCCTGCTCCTTGGAGCTCATGGTTTGCGCCTCTGGTGGAGGCGTCCGTGGAGTGTCTGTTGTACTGGGGACTCTCCCTGGGGTCGTGGGCCCTGGGGGGTGGGTGGCTGTGAGCCCTGAGCCTCCCCTGGCCTCCTCTGTGGCCTCCAGGTTCAGGGGTGGCTTTAGCAGCCAGCCCTCTGCTGTCAGGGCTGCAGTGGGCATGTGTCCTGAGGGCCGCCCTGTGAGCGATGGTCCCGGCAGGCTGGGTCAAACATCCAGCGTGATCTGTGTTCTGGAATCTGTGAGCCGAGCACCCCCTCCACACCCAGCTTCTGCCGGCGGGACAGCCGGGGGCTGCCCTCTGTGCAAGGCCGCCTTTGTTCACTGGGGTTTCCAGCAGAGATTTCTGAGCTGGGCCTTTACATCTCCTTGCCTCTTCCCGGCTGTCTTAGAAGGTTTTATTGCAGTAATGGTCATAGCTCAGAGGGAGTGGGAGGGGAAGCAGGAACCCCAGGAGCAGTCGGTGGCTCTCTGGAACGCAGCCAAGCACCTCCGTGTGTTGAGATGGTGGGGGCGGGGGCAGGGAGGCCCAGCTTAGTTGGGGGCCCAGGCAGACCCTAGCTAAGGCGTCGCTCACCTTGGTGTCCCAGGCTGAGCCTGTGCCCATGGGCATGGGGGGGAGGCCACCCCCGCTCCCTTGAAGTCACTGGGACGTCCTGGAGCCCTTTGCTAAGAGAGGCTGGGAGCAGACTCAGGAGCCAGCAGGAGGCCCCAGGGGGGAAGCCAGGCCTCCCTGTGCAGGGGTTGGCTATGGGACCACCCTTTCCTCACCTCTGAGGTGGATGCAGTGGGACCCCAACCCTGCTCTCTGGCAGGGGGCTCCTGCTCTGACAGGGAGGGATGCGGAATCATTGGGGACGAACACAGTAGGGGCTGTGTAACAAATGACCACAAACCTAGGGGCTTAACACAACACACATATGTTCTCTGACATTTCTGGAGGTCAGGAGTCTGACTCAGGTCGCACCAGGCTAAACGCAGGCATGAGCAGGTTCCTTCCAGAGGCCCCAGGGGAGACCCAGCTCTGGCCTTTTCCTGGCCCTCGGCCCCGCCTCCATCCTCACCGCTAGCAGCGCAGGTCTGCCCATCTCTGGGACTCCTAGCCTCTGCCTCCCCGTCGTGAGGGCCTTGTGAGGACGCCGGGGCCCCCCGGGAACCCAGGGTCAACCCCACCTTGGGGGCCTTGACTTAATCCCGTCTGCAGAGTCCCTTTACTGTGTGAGGTGACATCCTTACAAGGTCTGGTGATTAAGATGTGAACATCTTTGGGGCCGCCGTCCTGCGGCCACCGGCCCTCTGACCTTCGCATTGTGCTGCTTTGTTACCTCGTGTGTTGGCTGGGATCCTGTTAGAATTCCACAGGTTTCTTGTTTTCAAGCCACTTGTCTGTGGCGTTGCAGCAGCTCTTCATCATTGCAGCCTCTAGCTGGGAGGTATTTAGCTTTTAGGAAAAATTTGGAGAGAGAGTGACGGGGTTGGTGAGGCCAAAGGCCTGAATCTCACACCCCGTGTGGTCCTGAGCAGGTGGGTGGAGGCATGTTCTGGTAGGCGGTGTCACCCCAGTGCTGCCCAGGAGGTCCCAGTGACAGCTCGGTTACCCCGTCCCCTCCGTCTCCATGGCCAGGCCAGGCTGCAAGTCCGCGGAGGCCCCAGTCTAGGCCTGTGGAGAGGGGCTGCGCTCTGCCCCAACCCCACAGCTGTGAGCAAGGCGTGGTGGTGCAGCCTGTGGGGTGAGATGCTTGTGTCCCTTTCCTGGGGACTCTGCCCGCCGGCTCCCAGCAGTTGGCGTCCTCCTGATGGGCCGTGGCAGGCTGAGCGCAGCTGAGGACTTTCTGATTCACAGGCTGGGGCTGTGTGCACGTGTGTGTGCGTGTTTGCACGTGAGCCTGCAAGTTTGTGCAAATGTGTTTGTGAGCGTGCGTATGTACACACGAAAGTGTGTGCATGTTCGTGTTCGTGTGCGTCTGTGCACACGTGTTTGTGAAGGTGCGTGATTACGTGTGCGCGTGTGTAAATGTAAGTGGGCAGTCACGTGTTTGTGCTGTATAAGTGTGTGCGTGTGCTGAGGCCCCAGCTCACTGGTCTGGACGGTCCCTCTTGCTGGGGGCCCCGGGGCTGGGGGTGGAAGGGAGGGGGTTTCTGGGCCCTCCCAGCACCGTGTCCCAGTCATGGCCCCGCGCCGCTCCCCGAGCACCGCTAGAGGGCGCCCCCACCCTTCGGCCCTAGCTGCTGCTCCCAGCGCCCGCGGTAATCTCCCAGCTTCTTCCACCCTTTTTATGGACTCCTGGACCCCAGCAGTGATGGTCCCAGAGGCTCCCTGGGGGCGGCAGCAGGAGGAGAGTGAAGACTGCCGGGGTGGGCAGTGGGAACGCTCAGCTCCCCATTGACGCCCATGTTTTGGCCAGGGTCTACCAGCCAGAGGGATCAGAAAGGGAGAAAACCCACCTTTACCTGAAAACACAGAATAGAACAAAAGAAAGGAGCCACGGCTGAATCCTGGCACGTGCCAGCCAAAGGCAGGTTGAGCTTCGGCCACGGCCCTGCCTGAGGTTGCGGTGGCCTCGGGCGACTGGGGGCAAAGTGTGAGCTTGTGGCTGGCAGGGAGGGTCACAGGGCGGGTGACTGGGGAAGTGGCCTGGGGAGCCCAGGGAGGCAGCTGGGCCAGGCCAGTCCTGAGAGGTGGGGGGGGAGGGGGGGCTGGCTTCGAGGGAGGTGAGGGAGAGGGCACTGGGAATGTGAGGGGTGGCAGCCCCCGGCTGACAGGGCAGCTGACGGGCAGGACTGATGTCTGGCTCTGCACGCTCACCTCCTGCCTCCAGCAGCTTGGGGTTCTCCAGGCTGCAGCCCCAGCACCCCTGTCCCCTGCTGTCCACCCACCCCTCACTTCCACCCCTTCGCCACAACCCACTCCAGAGAGCCCTGGGGCAGCATTCGGCAAGGCCAGCATCGGGCACAACAGCGGTTCATCTGAGGGAAAGAATGTTCCAGAAGGCAGGCTGACCTTGGTCTTGGTTTCTGGTCCTGAAGGGGGATGGGATTGCACATGGGGTTCCTCGTGCTGAGTGTGGCCGGTGGGAAGAGGCTTCGTAGTGCAGCTGTGTAGGATCCAGCTGTTGAGGCTTCCCACCCCCGCCTCTGCCAAGCTCCCTGCTCCCCCAGCCCCAGCAGCTCAGCTCAGGCACCATGCCCTCTCCCCAGGACCCGGGTGGGGGTCCAAGATGTTGGCAGGGCACCCCATGCTCATATTAGCTATGTGTGACATTGGCATATCTCCCCATCAGATTGTGGACCCTGGGGGGGGGCAGGGCCCTCGGTCTCCAGCCACCCCCACCCCGGGTCCCTAGCCCCCAGCAGGGGCCTGGTGCAGGGAGGGGGCTCTGTGCCTATCAGGGTCCGGGAGTGCCGGTGCCGTGTCCATGGGAACTGATCCTCGGGGCTGAGACCCGTCTTGGGCGCCCCTGACACCAGCCCAGGGGGTGGGTGCGGTGCCTCTGGTCCCTGGGCTGGTGGCTCAGGGGCCACTCAGTGGCGCCCTGGCTCCCTGCCCTTGCCCGGGGCCCTGGGGGCTGCTCCCCGGCAGATAGCGCTCACGCGCCTGTCTCCCTGATTGCGTCGTTTCTCCGGCGTCTGCGGCAGCCTAATTGCAACCAGTTCCGATTATTTCGGTAGCTTTTTTTTTTTAAGTGTCGCCATCCTCAGGTTTACAGCGTTTTATGAAGCCTTTCTGGGTCTGTTGCTACTTCGGTAGTGTGATTGGCGTGTCACAGCGGCGTGAACAGCCTGGTGTCGATAAAAGCGTGGAATTGCTTCAAAAGGCCGACATTAGGTGGTGCTCTCAGGCAGCAGGGCTGAGAATATCTGAAGCGTTTGACTGCTTCAAAATCCCTTTTGAGATGGGGATTTAAAATAGACCTGGCACTTGCAACTCACCCCCTCCCTGGCCTTCCCGGAGGCCAGGAGGGCGGGCACGCGTGGGCCTGGGCGTGCGGGGAAGGCTGCGTGATTCTACCCTGATTCAAGTGGCTTGGCCTGCAGGGCGGTGCTGGGAGCGGGTGGTGGGGCAGCCCCGGGGCTCGGCATCCGGGGAGTGGCACCCGCCATCCCTGGCCCTCCTGGAGCCCCTGGTGGCCGTTGCCCGCACGCTGTAGGCCCTGTGGGTCCCAGGCCTTGTGAGCAACCAGTGGGGAAATGTAAGATTATGGGAATGGCACCCCCACCTGGCCCGGCTTCTTGCTCAGATCCAGCACCGCACACAGCGTTCCCAACAGCATCTCCTCCTGTTCTCTCTGCAGCTTCCTTGTGCCCATGGAGTGGGGTCAGGGAAGGGTGGGGGAGGGAGAGGAGGGGGAGGACAGGCCTCCCAGAAGCCTACTCCGGGCCCCCGGGTGGGGACAGCCAGCATTCCCTGCAGGGTGTTTGTCTGGGCCCTGACCCTGGCCTTCAGGCCCGTGACTCAGCAGCATTCCCTCAGAGTGGTGGGCACTGGTCCCAGAGTTGAGTCTCCAGCAGTTTTCTCGAGGCTTCCCCAGCCCCTCCCACTCTCCTGCTTCTATTCACCTGGGATGCGGTCTTTCACGTCCTCCCCGTGCCCCACGGGCAGGGAGCACGTCTGCCGAGATCCGCACGTGTGCCACACGCATGCCTGCCTGCGCACACGTGTGCAGTGCACATGCATTCACTCGTGCAGGCTCCCTGCATGGGGGCTGGGGAGAGGGCCTCTCGGAT